CCTCAACATAGAAGCACGAACATCACAGTTACACAACATCAGAGTCCGATGGGGAGGCGGAGTTTGGCGGGATCCTGAATCCTCCAACGGGAGCTGCCATTACGGCGCTTCACCAGCTGCAGTCGACAGGTGGGAGGGAGAAATGAGGAACAGAGAGCGCATTGAGTTCCTCCAGTCGATGACCTCGAAGCCGAGGTCACAATCTGAAGGCAGGGGGGAAGGTCGGGACACAGCATCTGTCAGCATTCCTCCTTTTGTGGGGGTGAGTTGAAGTTAGCCTTGAGAGGCTACTTGGCGTCAGATAAGGATAAACAAGACTTTGTTTAGGGCAGACAGAGATAATTTTCCTCTCTGCCTTGGAGTCTATTAAGTGGTCATTCATGTCCACCAGTGAAGCCAATTATATGTTCTAAACATCTCCACACCGACCGGCGACCCTCTCCGAGATCACATCCATCTTGTGCACTAACACAGGCAACGCCGCAAGGACATTGTCCAGCTTACGGTTCACCTCAAGTAACGTCCCAGTCTGTGAGGTCACCGCCCGGGCGGCACATTCCGTGGGTGCGGGTCGCACTCCAATCGCTCCCGTCTTCCCAAATTTCCAGAAAACCAGATATCCTCCCACTCCAATCAGAAGAAATCCAGTGATCATCAGGCCGAACATCCACAAATCTTCCACGTCCTCGATGGACAACTGAGAGAGGCACACGATTCGCCAGACCTCCCAAGAATCGAGTGCATATCCCGCTGCGAATGTCCCCTCGGGACAGGTGGGAGCCCCCTTCTCCGTTCTCATCGTAGAAAAAATCTTATCAATCGCGTTGAATGACCAGTTAATTAAGTCTATATTTCCAAAAAAGAGTAGTGATTTCAGGAGAAATGCAGAGAAGTGCTCTGTAGGCAGACAGGACAAGAGCCTTGGGGAAGCAGATAAGGGAGCTGAAGAAAAAAGCGTCTGTGCTCTCTGAGTGCTGGAGAAGAAAACAGCAATAGTTTGCCCGGAAAGTCGCTTTTTCAGACCCGTTTTTTGCGTAAGCAGCTTCATGAAAGTGGCCTCTGGTCTGTTTTTTGACTATTTGTCTTCATTTAAACTTCTTTTATTCGTGTTGATCCATTTTTGCTTTGCTCGTGTACCTGCTAGTTTTGGTGTGTTGTTGTATCAGGATCCGTTTCTGTTTGGGAATGTTAGTGTTTCCTGTTTGTGTGTGGAACTGTTGATGTTCTTGAGTCTTTAGCAACTTCAGCCTTTCGTTGTTTTAACAGCAGCACATTCTGATTTTAGCTTGTCTTTATTGTTCAGGATGCAGAAACGTTTGTTTTAATGTGTTCAGCATCGTCTGCTTGCAGGACTGGGTTCACCAAACATACTGATTTTATTTTTTTATTTTTTTATGTCAGGACCACGTCAGAACCAGGGGTGTGTCCAGGTGGTGGCCTGGGGTACCACATGCCACCCTTGGAATCTGATTGGCCACCCCAGGTGCCACCACACTAATTTACCTTTAAACAGGCTTTTCTTTGTTCACAAAAGGCTTGGGGGGGAAACAAAAAAAGCATAACAATTGGTGCCATCCATGCACAAAGTTGTGCCTCACCTGGGCCACCCCATTTTAAAAGATCTGGACACACCACTGATCAGAACTGGTCCGTTTCTAAAACAACAACAATCAGACGGTTCAAACATAACATGGGTTTTTATTTTATTTCAAAAAGCAGAATCTGTAAAACACAATGTATGGAACTTTAATTATATTCTGAAAGTTCAGTAAAAAGACACCTTAGTGTTTATTTTAAGGTCTGGACCAAAGATTATGCCACCTAGTTTTATAGAAGAACAAACAAGTTTTTATCTGCACTAGCTATCCAGCTAGGGTCATTCATTTAACCAGCAGGCCGTCTTTAGGAAGGTCGTCCCGAGTACGGTTCCTCCTCAGGTCTGTAGCCGGAAAAGCTATATGTACATTTAGATGTAAGAAACAAGGAGGACATTATTTTTATACAGCATTTCTGGGGTGACGGTGGCACATGAGTTAAGTACTCGCCCCGTAATCGGTAGGTTGCAGGTTCGAGCCCCGCTCAGTCTGTCGCTGTCGTTGTGTCCTTGGGCAAGATACTTAACCCACGTTGCCTGCTGGTGGTGGTTGGAGGGACCAGTGGCGCCAGTGCTCGGCAGCCTCACTTCTGTCAGTACGCCCCAGGGCAGCTGTGGCTACATCATAGCTCATCCCTACCAGTGTGTGAATGGGTGTGTGAATGGGTGAATAACTGATTGTGTTGTAAAGTGCCTTGGGGGGTTCCAGGACTCTAGAAGGCGCTATATCAAATACAGACCATTTACCATTTTACCATTTCTTAAGATAAAATTCACAACTCATAATGGCGGAATATACAGTTGTCTTTCAAATGGTCTCAGCACGAAATCGGGAGCCTAAGTCACGCCCGCCTGCTTCTGGACCTTGGGAAGAATGAAGTCCATGGAGCTAAGAACGCAATTTTCTAATTCAGCGTGTTTTGTGCCGTGGATTTCGCATATGATGTTGGTGAATTTTAAAGAAGTTTTTTTGGTACTGAGAACGCGCTTATTTTTTAATGTGGGGAAACACTATTTTAGGTTTTGTGTAAAAATACAAATGTGCTTCACGAAAGTGACGTCATCGAACCAGACACGGTTCAATGACGTGGGCATATATGCGACGTCTTATTAGTAGTCGTGCTAATTACGAACTTTTACAAACTGATAAATCTCAAAGTACGTGACTGGCGTGGTCGAAACACCCATGATTAGTTTTCATTTAAATAGAAGTACAACAAATTCGATCCCGACGACTGCGGTTCATTTATCATTATATGTGCGATCCAGGGCCTAAGATGTAATATTAGAAAAAAGCTCTTTTAGCCCCGTTGACCTGTATTCCCTTTTTCATTCTTCCGGAACCCATGACCAGACCAAAAAAGGAGGAGACTCAGGCTCCCTATTCAGCGCTAGGGCCAGTCAGAGCAGCGAACAATGTACTCATCGCTACAGATGTCAGTCACCGTCGAAGAAGAAGACAAGAAAAGAAAGAAGAAAAGAAAGAAGAAACAAAGAAAGAAGAAAAGAAAGAACAACACATTTTTTTCTAAAAACTGGTCTTAAGTACCTCTTTATGCTCATGTCTCATCGAAAAGCCCAAGCCTGAATCGTCCAACGTTGATGCCGAAGCTGTTCAAACGAGCACCGTCCCTGAGCCGACAGCCAATGTTGTTTTCCTTCATCGCAGCCTAACAATAATGAGTGCTGTGATTGGTCGGATACAAAACTGTTCGGACCAATGGTAGACCTGCTGAGGCTACAATGGAGCACTGTTAGAGTGATCTGCAAAGCTAAATCATTTGCTACAGCTGATCTAGAGTTAAGCTAGAAGATCCGTGTTTATAAAGCCCCCTTCAGACAGGCCATGAAAAACGGAAATGTTCCGGACTCTGTCCGTAAGACCTTTGTGTCTGAATACAAACATCCGGATAACGTGTTCCATAATTTAACCGGACGAAGCCCCTAGTAACAGGGCCGTACTTGTTACGAACAAGGTGGCTGCTTCAGACTGATGAGGTTGAGTTCCGGGCAGGGAGGCGGGGGAGGAGGAGGGGACCGGGGGACGCTGTGCGCACCTAGATAGCTCGCTCCTGTAGCATGTGACGAACCATGGCAGCTCGCCTCCTACGGTACCGTCTAGACGCGTGACGGAGCGCTTCACACCGCTTCCATGATTCCTTTTAACCATTGAGCTTCATCATCCAGGTCTCTTATGCGTCTTGGTGTGCGCAGAATTATGCTTAACATAAGTCCGATCAGTGAGAGGAACATTCAAAGTGACTGAATGGCTTTGTTTGGGTAAATGACGCATGTACGCCCCCCCCCCCCCCCACCCCCCGCCTCCCCGACATCTGGAACCTTTCCCTGCTGTGTGAAGGCAGCTGAAAGGACAAGTTCCGGTACAAAAGTGGTGTGTCTGAAAACACAGTTCCGGTTAAAAACTGGATTGAATTGTCCGCACATATTCCAGAATGTTTATCTGAAAAGGGCTTAGGATTCAAACTGATCTGAGAGCTCTAGTCGGATCTTTGATTTTGACTTTGTTTTTCATCCCTTCAGACATGCAGATCACTCTTAGAAAGCTTTTTTTGCCTTTGCATCACTTTGGATCAGCTAGGTCTGTCTTCAGTTTGAGATGCTAATCAGAGGTAATTACACCAACATGCTGGAGGTCATAGAGGAGGAGCAGGAACCAGGAGGAGGAGCATTTTAGTGAGAGGAGTGAAAGAGTGACGTACATCCTTATTAATCTCTCCTGTAGCTTTTGAAGTGCAGCTGATTTAGCTTTGATGGGCAAAATGATCCAAACCAAGTGCTCACTTTAGCATCATGTGTTCATCTGCAGTCAGGCAGCATGCTCTGGTACCTGATGCTGTTTCTTTTGGAGCCTAAGATTAGACAAGTTTTTCGGATGTTTTTATTGGTTAGAGGTATTTGCCCTGATCTTTATCATGTTGTACAGCGCTTTGTGATTTATATCTGTGAAAGGTGCTCTATAAATAAACTTTTACTTACTTACTTACTTACAAGTCAAACTTGAAGACACACTATCATGCTCAAGCCTTTTCAGCATTGGGATCTGCAACATTGCACTAAAATTCTTTGTTTTGAGGTTTTTTAAGTCAGTTTTACTACTTTTATTGTCTTTTTATTGTTCTTATTGGATGCTGTTTATGTTCAGCAACTTGAGCTTCTGCTGAGGGAGTGGAAGGTGCTTTATAAATGAAATGAAATGAATGAATGAATGCATGAATGAGACCTGAGGATGTCCTAAAAAGGACATCGTAGATTTGCTCAGATCTCATGCATGGTTAACTAGAACATGAGTCATGAACATGCTGGTCATACAAGCTAGTTTGAGACACAAACAGAGAAGCCGGATCTATTTACGAACATCTCGTTTGTTTTTATGTCCTTGTTTCAGAGCATCAAGGTGTCATGGCAGCCACCTCCTCGCGGCGCTCAGAACGGTGTCATCAGCGCTTACAAGATCAAGTACAGGAAGACCGGTCGCCGTGGAGACCAAGAAGCCATCGAGCCCAACAACTTCTGGTACCTGTTCACAGGTAGGTTCAGCTGCTGCTTTCTGCCCATCCAGCAGGTGCTAGGAATTCTTGGAAATGTGTGAATTAAAACAAAGTCATGAAGCTGCACCAGGAATCAGGTAATAACAAAATTTTTGGGAGACGATAAGAGAAATGATCCTTCTGGGGCTTGTATGTGGTTCTGTAGCAGAACCCTGTAGTTTTTTCTCTGTTTGAACCAAAAACATATGTGACTTGAATTATTATCGGGAAATGATTATGTTAACAACCTGTTTATTCAGACAAACGGGATTTATACATGAATCATTTGAACCCGTTTCATAAACAATTAATAAAATAATCAAATTTTAATTCTCCATAAAACCTGTTGGTCAGATAAGTCAATGATTATTTTGGGACATTTAATCTTTTATTAAGAAATTTAATGAGTCAGAGGGCAAAGCTCTCGATTTACCGGTCGATCTACGTTCCTACCCTCACCTATGGTCACGAGCTTTGGGTAGTGACCGAAAGAACGAGATTGCGGATACAAGCGGCCGAAATGAGTTTTCTCCCAAGAGTGGCTGGGCTCTCCCTTAGAGATAGGGTGAGAAGCTCGGTCATTCTGGAGGGGCTCGGAGTAGACCCGCTGCTCCTCCACATCGAGAGGAGCCAGTTGAGGTGGCTCGGACATCTGGTCAGGATCTTCCCTGGTGAGGTTTTCTGAGCACATCCATCCAAGAGGAGACCCGAGAGAAGACCCAGGACACGCTGGAGGGACTATGCCTCTTGGCTGACCAAGGAATGCCTTGGGATTCCCCCGGAGGAGTCGGCCCAGACAGCTGGGGAGAGAGAAGTCTGGGCCTCTCAGCTCAGGCTGCTGCCCCCGCAACCCGACTCTGGGTAATCGGTTGAAATTGGATGGATGGATTTTTCAAAACTTTTAAAAATCTAAATTATTTGTGAAACTCCCTTTTTGAATCCCTCACAGATCAAACTGAAGTTGTTGAATCTTATCAGAATCCAATGGAATTCATCCTGATGAGTTTAATCTGTGACCGACATCCGAAACTCCGAATTCAGATTTATTTACTGGGTCATAAACGCACCCTCTCTAACAGCCAGTGCATTAGAAGCTTCAATGGAAAAATTACAGCTCTAAAGTCAAGGATCATGGTATTCTAAACCTTTGAGAGCAAGTAGGCACAGTATATGATCTTATATCACTGTTGGCACTGTTGAGATGTCATTTATCTGAAGTACGGGTTATTTTTGGATACCTGGAAATGAAACGATCTATTTCAGTGACACTCCGCCCATGACCGCTCTGACAAAGTGAGCCTACAACAGTTCAGCCTGTTGTTATATTGACATTGGTAGTCTAGCAGTTTAAAGCATCTTCATTTTGTCTCGTTTTGCCATGTGCGGACGCCGGTTTGATTCCCACTGTCAGTGGCGTTTTATTTAGCCAGCTGAAGCAGATTTCATCTATTTATATTTTAGTTTTATTTATTATTTTCTGCAAAATATTTCGTGTCTCAAAACATCTTTAAATGTAGTCGTTTCCAAGCAGCATTTTAATTCATTCACTCTGCTCACCTCACATGGACTCACACTGGCTACATAAACAAAGAAAGTAAAAACACAGACCAGTCCTTATATTTTTAACAGTTTATCAGTAAAGGATTCAAAACATCGTACTGGTGAGTGCAGCTAAAATATCAGGAAAAAAGTTAATGCTGTGACTGGAAGTTGAACCGATGCTAAACAGCAAATCAGGTAGTTTCTTTAACCACTGGCCTACTGAGTCTGCTACAATTATAAAAACTTATTCATTTTTCTTTTTTATGTTCAGGATTCGAAATGAACCCAAATCAGCAGGTCAGAGCTGGACCACTGTCAGAAATTGGTATCAATGTCATTGTCGGCCGTTTGAACCAGAATCGGTTCGATTCTGACTAAAAAGAAAAACAATTAGTTTTTATTATAGATTACCTAGTGTGTGTGTGTGTGTGTGTGTGTGTGTGTGTGTGTGTGTGTGTGTGTGTGTGTGTGCATGTGTGTGTGGATTCAAACTGCCAACAGCTATTTTTTCAATTTGAGCTTTGCAGGATTTGAATGAAACTGATCTCTTTTCATTTATTTGTCTGCGATATGTATCCCCGTCTCTCCGTCTGCGCCTCCTCTCATGCACGTGGCACCTCCTTGTTTCGCTGCTGTGAAATAATCTTGTCTGTTGCTGTGGGCTCGTCGCCTGGAGAAACACAAACATCGCCTTTAAATGAGCTTATTGGACTCAATGTTTTTATTTAGTAATCAGATGATGAGGCAGAGACATTAAACTCTTTTATTCTATTTTAGTTTTTATTTGTCTTTACCAAAACAAAGACAATTTTCTGTTTAATGTTAAACAAGTAAAACAAAATAAATAAAGTTTATTCACTTCCTTACATTTGAAAATTCTGTTGCTGAAAATATCTTTGCCCTAAAAGAAACAAAGAACAAGAACCGGTCTTTTATTTAGGGCCTCTCAAGAACAATACTTTTAAAATATGAAAAAAATATTTAAAAATATATGATTAAAATGAGAAAAAATTATGTAAAAGTTGTGAAAGACAAGATGAATAGGACAGAGGGAAATCAAGCTTGTTACCAGTGAGAGTTGGACTCCACAAAGGCTGCCCTTAGTCACACATTCTGGCTTTTACGGACAGGATTTCTAGGAGCAGCCAAGGTGTTGGGGGGATCCACTTTGGTGGCTTGAGCATTGAGTCTCTGCTTTTTGCAGATGATGTGGTTCCGTTGGCTTCATCAGAACGTGATCTCTGGCTCTCACTGGATCAGTTCGCCGTCATCTCTGAAGCAGCTGGGATGAGAATCAGCTCTTCTAAATCCAAGACCGTAATCTTGAGTCCGAAAAGGTTAAAATGCCTTCTCCAGGTCATGAATGAGGTCCTGCCTCAAGTGGGAGTTTAAGTTTCTCGGGGTCTTGTTTACAAGTGAGGGAAAGATGGAGCGCGTGATTGATAGATGGATTGGTGCTGAGTCTGCATTGATGCCGGCGTTGTCTGGTCTGGTTTATTGTGATGAAGAGAGAGCTGAGCTGGAAGGTGCAGATCCTAATCTACCGTATGATCTACGTTCCTACCCTCATCTATGGTCATGAACTTTGGGTAGAGACCAAAAGAATGCGATCACGGATATAAGTGGCTGAAATTAGTTTTTGCCGCAGGGTGTCTGGGCTCTCCCTTAGAGATGAGATGAGAAGCTCGGTCATCTGGAAGGAGCTCAGAGTAGACCCGCTGCTCATCAAGAGGAGCCATTTGAGGTGGCTCGGGCATCTGATTAGCATGGACACCTCCCTGGTGAGACTTTCCAGGCACATCCAACCAGTAGGAGACCTAAAGTCAGCCTATAACCTGCTACACATTATGTGTGTTTCTTCGCTTCCTCCCTAGCGCATTATCTCCTTTCTCACCCATTCACCCCAGCACCTCTGAGGAGCTCTCGGTATCCTCTCCTCTAAATTTGTTGGGTCCAGATATAAGGGAAGATTTCACTCATTAATGTCTCCAGGAGAAATGTGGACCTAATGAAATGTTAATTTTTCCTATACCTCTTATAATATATGCAAGACGGAAAGTGCCTGTTCGCTCACACAACCCTAGAATCCAGGTAACGGTTCCTTATCATACCCGAACCACACAGGTTCCTCCCATCATCTCTATGAAGGTTGCTTCATTTAATGTTAGGTCTCTTAGCATAGTCATTTTTAGTAAATGATCTCATCTCTGCTCATGATCTTGATTTCATGTTTTTATCTGAAAACTGGCTAAATGATGACATCATTGCACCCAAAAACGGTCAAACTTATCTCTGGCAAACATAAAGCTCCATGGAGGTTCACTAAATCAGTTACCAAGCAGAAAAGAGAACGCAGGAAAGCTGAGCGTCGATTCCGAAAAAGTAACCTATCAGATCACTATGAGACTTTCAGAATGCAGCTGCGCATTTACAACTCTGAATTAAAAAAGGCTAGGCAAGCCTTTTTCTCCAAAGTCATTAGTGATCATATTAACAATTCTCGTGCCCTGTTTGTAACTGTTGAGCGGTTAACTAATCCCTCAACACAGTTAAACCCTGAATTCATATCACAAACTTTGTGTAATCACTTAATCATTTTTCTATGATAAAATCATAAAAATCAGATTAGAGATTCATTCCTTCTTATCAACCAACACAACCAGACCCCTGCTACAGCTACATAGCAGCAATTTGGCTAGAATGCCAGCTTTCAGGGTGATTAGTGCTAAAAAGTGGATGGCATAGTAAAGACCCGAAACCAGGGGTCCTCAAGAAGATTTGTTCAAGGGCCAGATTTTTTTTCCAGCAGACACCATGAGGGCTGGATGCTCTTCTAAAATACCTAGTATTCCTTTAGATGCAGCTGTTGTCAGGGGTCGGGGCTTAGGTGATGTCAGATGTCCACATTATCATTGTCTTGAGATGTGGTCAGTGATCACACACACAAAGTTTGATATAGATCTGATCATGCGCATGGAAGTTATTACGTCAAAGAATGTAATGGCGAAAGGTCATAGTTTGAGGCTTAGCCACACCCACATCTTTCAACTTATTTAAAATCCGATGGTTGAATTTTTTCCCCTATGTCTTAAAAGTATATAGCAAAAGTTTGAAGGTGATCGGTGAAAAAGGTGACGAGGCATCATTGTCCAAACGATGTGTGCGAAAACCACTAAATTGAGTACTTGGACCAGAATGGCCGACCTCCTGTGCGACTTTGCGCTTGGCTCCACGAGACTTTTTTGTAGGTCCTGAGACACCACATTAGTGTACCAAATTTTGTGATCCTCAGTCAAAGCTTGGCTTGGGGCTGACACTTTTAATGGTCCTAGGGGGTGCTATTTCAGAAAATAGGCCACGCCCACCAACTTCTCCTGTCCATTTCTATTGGGGGTCAGACTAGGATCACTCACCAGAAATTTCGTCGCGATATCACGATAACTGAGGAAATAACGTATTTCCATGGCATGATGGCGAATTTCTTCATGCTCCCAAAGCCCTGTCTTTTTTTGACACCTGCTTGACACCAAGTGACCCTGACTTGTCTACTACTATTTGCCAGAGATTGCTGGTGATTGGGTGAAAGGAGTCCAATAGGGAGCTGTGAAAAAAAGAGTGGCCGACCTCCTGTGCGACTTTGCGCTTGGCTCCAAGAGACTTTTTTGTAGGACCTGAGACACTACATTAGTGTACCAAATGTGGTAATCCTCAGTCAAAGCATGGCTTGGGGCTGACAGTTTTAATGGTCCTAGGGCGCACTATTTAAGAAAATAGGCCACACCCACCAGATTTTCACATCAGATCTTTTGGGGGGCCGGACTAGGATCACTCACCAGAAGTTTCGTGACGATATCTTTAGAAATGACGAAATGGGTGGCAAACGTATGGCCACGGCGGTATGCCTGACTTCGCCGCGCCGCCACAGCCCCTCCTTCTTTTGAAAACTCCCATAAAGTGACGGCAAGCAACCCCCAATTGTCTTGAGTTAACAGCTACAAAATTGTGGTAATTAAGTGAAATGGGGCGATTTGGGACCTATCACAGTAAAACTTGACCTTTTTGGTCCTGAGGGGGCGGGGCTTGTGTGATGTCATCATCCGACCATTCAATTCAGTTCGTGGGTGGATGCCGAAGGGCCACAGAAATTTTTCTAACTATTCCATTCAGTTCAGAAGTTATAGCCATTTATATTTTTTTGGCGAGTAGTCGAACTTAGAGGCCTGGCCCCGCCCCCTCAGCATATACGAAAAGTCAGCTTTATTTTTTTCTATTTGATCACCCATCACTTCTGAGCAATTTCCCACAAATTTCGAGATGATCGTGCGAAAAATGATTGAGTAAATCAATCAGAAGCGGACCCTAAAAACGACCAAAACAGGTACAAACTGTCATTTCAACCCAAAATGGCCGACTTCCTGTTCGATATTGACCATGGTTTTAAGAGGCTTTTCTGTGCGGACTGTTGAGTACTACAAGTGTACAAAATTTCATAACTGTATGACAAACTAAGGTTTATGAGGGGGGTATTTTTCACATTGTAGGGGGCGCTGTGGAGCTAGTTTAATTGCAATTTTTTTTTTGGGACCTTTAAACATATCAAATTTTTCACCAGGCCTGATAAGTTTGCAAAATATTATGAGTTTTGGGGTAAGATAGGGTCCCCAAAAAGCCATTTAAAGGTTGCTAAGAATAATAAATAATAAACAGAGCAAAAACAAGAGGCCTTCGCAGCGCTTTTGCTGCTCGGGCCTAATAATAATAACAAAAATAAGAAAGTAACTTCAAAGAGAACCACTCCTTTAATGTAAATGAAAACTTTTACTCTACGATTCATCAAATTCATTTTTTATTCATTTCTGACAGGAACCTCTCCTCTGTCCCGACCACCTTTATACCTCTGCAACTTGTTTGGAGGTTTTTGTGCTTCAGCAGCCATTGCTTCTATCTGGTTGTCAATAAAGTTTTTCTTATTTTTTCCGGGAAAACAACAGGGAATCCCCTCATGTGCTCAGGATGTAGCATGACCGTTTTTGCATGTAAATGACAGTGAACGGACACGAGCACCTGGGTACGCACAGGTGAGGTTTATCATCAGACGAGTATGGAGGCACGTGCGTATGAGAGGCTATCACATGTTTCATAAATCAGGATTTTGACCGTTCAAACACACATTCTACATTTCGGTCATAGATGAGGGCCCTGGTTTTTAGAGAGAATTAGATCCTTAATCAGGTCATCAGTAGCTGGATTACATGGATTTATTAGTTTACTGCTGCTGCATTATTCTTTATCTGCTTGATTTTACATGAAGCAGACCTGTAGCACATTTATTTCGTATTTTCTGTTGTTGTAATGTTTAAATATTCCTGTAATCTGGTTGAATCGGGTCTCTCTGAGCCCACGTTTGACTCGGTTCTCCACCCCTGGCTGTGGTTTCAGAACCAGCTGATTATTCTCAGCGCTGCAGCTAAAGGCCTGAAAAGTTCAACCTTGAATGCCAGCGGTAACGATGCTTTGCTTTCCTCTGCTCAGGTCTGGAGAAGGGCAGCCAGTACAGCTTCCAGGTAGCAGCCATGACGGTGAATGGAACCGGGCCTGCCAGCGACTGGTACACGGCCGAGACGCCGGAGAACGACCTGGACGGTGTGTGTTTGTTTACCAGCTGTAGTTGGGATTACAGGCAGTACCTCCTCTATAATCTGAATACATAAAAATATAAACAGCATGGACGTAATTTTCACTTTAGAAGTGGGGGGGGGGACACGGGGGGGGTGGGGGGGTGGGGTGGGGGGATCTTTACAGTATGCTCTAATGGGAAACAGGCTTCAACACAAACGGTTGTTTTCCACTTGGTCCTAGAGCTCAACCAGTGTCAATTTAATATAGCGTAATATTGTTTTGGATGGTAAAAAGTGCAGGGGTCAAAACTTGACTTTGGAAAAAGTGTGTGTGTGTGTGGGGGGGGTCGTGGGTGGGGGGGGGGGGAATGTCCCCCCTGTCCCCCCCCAAAATTACGTCCATGATAAACAGTCCTGGTTTCTGCTGGGTGTGGACGTTCTCATGATTCCTCTCAGACTGTTTTTAATTATTTGAAGTCGTCCTTTGAGGATTATTGGCTGTGCAGCGCTTTGAGCCGCTTGCATGCTGGGTTCACGTGCGCTATATCAAAATAAAATGGTGTGGTGTAGTTGGATCTTCTGACCTGAGGCTCGGTGCCACCATGTTTATGCCACTGCTCATGCTAATGGTGTTGGAGGCTCTAATCTCATTTTCATGGATTATCACTCAGTAAAGTGAAATGAAGCGTCTCCCTGTGGAGCCAGAGGCCTGTAATCTGATCTAATCTGATGCTGAGGCATGACTGTGAGTGGCAGGTTCTCATTAAACGGGTCAGCATCCTGCCCCAGATACTGATCCTTCTTCTGTGGTTGTCTCATCAGAGAGCCAGGTCCCCGACCAGCCGAGCTCGCTGCACGTGCGACCGCTCCCCAACAGCATCATCATGTCCTGGACTCCGCCCCTCAGCCCCAGCATCCTGGTTCGAGGTTACATCATCGGATACGGCGTGGGAAGTCCGTACGCCGAGACGGTCCGGGTTGACAGCAAGCAGAGATACTACTCCATCGAAAACCTGGGTAAGGGTTGGACCGGAGCCCAGACTCTGGATTATTAATCTGATCAGGATAAATTCTGCTCCTTAGCCAGGGACTCGCATACAACCAGAACCCCAGTTAACCAAAGAGGTTTTCCAGGAACACTACTCAGAGCAACTTGGAGTGGTGCAGCTCGGTCCGAGCACCGTTCCCACGGGCACGGTTCGGTACTTTCTCCCCTTTTTTTTAGTCCCTGCTCCGTTGAGGTACCTGGAAAAGCTGAGTCGAGCTGGCATCTTTATTCTGGCCGCTGATTGGCTAGGGGGCGGAGTCACTGATTGCTCCAGAGTTTCTACCTTCTGCTTCACTGCCTGCAGCCATTTCCTGATTCAGAGTCTGACAAAAAGCCATGAAACTGAGTAAAATGTCCAGCACCAGCATTTTTCAGCCGAGTTGTGTTTCTGTGGAGTGTACCGGTTACCTTCCACTGTTTACCGATAGTATACCTTGATACTGATACTTACCTATAAGGGGCGCACCCACTTCCTGTCATGGAGCCGGCGTAGGAACAAAACTACGCCGAGATGGGCTGACTCGAACCACGCCGTACGGAGCTGTTTCAGGCTGAGCGGTGTTCCTGGAAAACCATCCCAACTAAACTAGTGAACCCTGCCTGCACGAGTACTGGTGAGACCGCATTTCTGTAAACAGCTGCAGCTAAAGGCAGATTAACGTGTTGAAATGAGTTTTGTTAGCATCAAAATGAAGTCCTGATTAATACCCAGAAGTTCTGACAGTTTACAGGATGCTTCAACATCTGGGCGCCTCGCTGTGGCTGTTTAAGGTGTGTCACAGCTGTTCAGAGCCACACACACCTCGTCCTGCTCCTCCTGCCTGCGCTGACTCGGGCTGACTCGGCTCCGCCGCCTTCCATGAATTCATTATGATGATGAAACCTTCATTTAATTACAAGCAGTAATTGAAGTGAGTTTAATAAGGAAGCTGTTTGAGGAAATCTAATAGCGAAATCCTCACAGCAACACATTTGCATCCTAAAGGAGCCGAAGCAGATTTGGGACAGCTGTGGACGCGGAGCCGCGAGTTCCGTCTCGGGTCTCCTAATGGAGGACTAATGGAAGCTAAAATCCAGCTGCTGTGGCGCCCGCATAGTGCATGTGTGCATTCCTAATTCATGCTGATCTTTTATTCATGTGTTGATGCGTCTGCGGAGCGGAGCGCCACTCCGGTCCTGATAAAAACGGTTTGATGGAACGTGGGGGGAGCGAGCCGTGTCGTCCAATCAGATGAGCCGCTGTGTGATGAGCGGGTCTGAGCGGAAGGGAACGAGTCACGTTTCTAAAGAGATGGCTCATCTCATTTGAAGTGTGTGATGTTTACAGATGGAGCACAGGCAGAAGCAGTTGAGCCTCCTTGTATCCCGGTTGGGATTCAGGCTGGAATTCCTTCCCACAGATGTTGAAATCTGACCTCGTGTTTGTGTTTTAATCTGGATTAGTGTTAGAGCTGTGTCCTGTGTGAAAAACAACATTTTTAAATGTCCCTGTAGACATCAGTGAGGTGGCCCCGCCCCCTTTGCAACTCCACAGCTCAGGTAGGAACATCAACGTTCCCATGTGGCATCATGGAGCTTCTGCTGTTCTTCTCGTGTTCCCCAGCTGTTTGTCTGAGGCTGTAGTCTGACTTCCTGTCAGTGGGAGGGTGTTACCATGGTGACCCCCTAACGAGCCACGGCTGCTCAGGGACTGCAGGTGGAAATTAGCGTTGATGCTAGAACATGGCGCCATGCATCTGTCCTGACTCGGTCTTGGTCAACGCGTTGCTGTTTATCTCCGTTTTCAAGTAACCTTACTTGCGGGTGGTTACCATGGTGACCCTGACGAGACACGTGGTGGTTCGTAACCATAGTGACCCATACACATTTCCCACTGACTTGGTTCCAGTGAAAGTTTGGTATCAGAGGCAGACCCGGCACAGGTTCTGTGCTGGACCAGAACTGATGATTCTTAAGAACTCCTCCATTGTTGAAATATTTCTCTTTTTGCGTGCTTCCTGTTTTCTTGGCCCCACATGGGCATATAAAGTTGTGTCGCAACGTTTTGGATGATGTGTTGACTAGACTAGTTTGTGGAAAAGTGATCTGTGGCACCAGCACTGAACTGGTGGGAAAGGGAACCCTAATGAGCCACAGGCAGCAGCTTTAACATTTCTGTTTTTCTTGGCACTTGTCTCACGTCCAGAGTTGAGCTTTTGGAATATTACAAGTCAGAACCGCTGAAGAAGAACTCTGACCAACAAACCAAAATGACGTTTGGCATGTTGAAAGTTTAACTTCCTGTTTGTCCTTCAGAACCGAGCTCCCACTACGTCATCTCCCTGAAGGCTTTTAATAACGCTGGAGAAGGAGTTCCTCTCTACGAGAGCGCCGTCACCCGGTCTCTGACAGGTACGAACACACCCGGAAGCTCTGTTCCTAAAACTAGAACCTTCAACAGTCTTCTGATCTTCAGAGTTCAGGTTTATATTAGACTAAACCAGCTCCACTCCTGATCCAGGACCAGTTTTCTGTTCTGCTTTCTCCAGCTGTTGAAGGCGGGGTTAAGGTTTCATCAGCAGCTGGAGGCAGGGTCGAGGTTTCATCGGCGGCTGGAGGCGGGGTCGAGGTTTCATCGGCAGCTGGAGGCGGGGTCGAGGTTTAATCGGCAGCTGGAGGCGGGGTCGAGGTTTAATCGGCAGCTGGGGGGTGGGGTCGAGGTTTAATCGGCAGCTGGAGGCTGGGTCGAGGTTTCATCGGCGGCTGGAGGCGGGGTCGAGGTTTCATCGGCAGCTGGAGGCGGGGTCGTGGTTTAATTGGCAGCTGGAGGCGGGTCGAGGTTTAATCGGCAGCTGGAGGCGGGGTCGAGGTTTAATCGGCAGCTGGAGGCGGGGTCGAAGTTTCATCGGCAGCTGGGGGGCGGGGTCGAGGTTTAATCAGCAGCTGGAGGCTGGGTCGAGGTTTAATCGGCAGCTGGAGGCGGGGTCGAGGTATAATCGGCAGCTGGAGGCGGGGTCGAGGTTTAATCGGCAGCTGGAGGTGGGGTCGAGGTTTCATCGGCAGCTGGGGGGCCGGGTCGAGGTTTAATCGGCAGCTGGAGGCTGGGTCGAGGTTTAATCGGAAGCTGGAGGCGGGGTCGAGGTTTCATCAGCAGCTGGAGGCGGGGTTAAGGTTTCATCAGCAGCTGGAGGCGGGGTCGAGGTTTCATCAGCAGCTGGAGGCGGGGTCGAGGTTTAATCGGCAGCTGGAGGCGGGGTCGAGGTTTAATCTGCAGCTGGAGGCGGGGTCAAGGTTTCATCGGCAGCTGGGGGGCGGGGTCGAGGTTTAATCGGCAGCTGGAGGCTGGGTCGAGGTTTAATCGGAAGCTGGAGGAGGGGTCGAGGTTTCATCAGCAGCTGGAGGCGGGGTTATGGTTTCAGCAGCAGCTGGAGGCGGGGTTAAGGTTTCATCAGCAGCTGGAGGCGGGGTCGAGGTTTCATCAGCAGCTGGAGGCGGGGTTATGGTTTCATCAGCAGCTGGAGGCGGGGTTAAGGTTTCATCAGCAGCTGGAGGCGGGGTTAAGGTTTCATCAGCAGCTGGAGGCGGGGTCGAGGTTTAATCGGCAGCTGGAGGCGGGGTCGAGGTTTAATCGGCAGCTGGAGGTGGGGTCGAGGTTTCATCGGCAGCTGGGGGCGGGGTTGAGGTTTAATCGGCAGCTGGAGGCTGGGTCGAGGTTTAATCGGAAGCTGGAGGCGAGGTTGAGGTTTCATCGGCAGCTGGAGGCGGGGTCGAGGTTTCATCGGCAGCTGGAGGCGGGGTCGAGGTTTCATCTGCAGCTGGAGGCGGGGTCGAGGTTTAATCGGCAGCTGGAGGCGGGGTCGAGGTTTAATCGGCAGCTGGAGGCGGGGTCAAGGTTTCATCGTCAGCTGGAGGCGGGGTCGAGGTTTCATCGGCAGCTGGGGGGCCGGGTTAAGGTTTCATCGGCAGCTGGAGGCGGGGTTAAGGTTTCATCGGCAGCTGGAGGCGGGGTTAAGGTTTCATCAGCAGCTGGAGGCGGGGTTAAGGTTTCATCAGCAGCTGGAGGCAGGGTTAAGGTTTCATCAGCAGCTGGAGGCGGGGTCGAGGTTTAATCGGAAGCTGGAGGCGAGGTTGAGGTTTCATCGGCAGCTGGAGGCGGGGTCGAGGTTTCATCGGCAGCTGGTGGCGGGGTCGAGGTTTCATCTGCAGCTGGAGGCGGGGTCGAGGTTTAATCGGCAGCTGGAGGCGGGGTCGAGGTTTAATCGGCAGCTGGAGGCGGGGTCAAGGTTTCATCGTCAGCTGGAGGCGGGGTCAAGGTTTCATCGGCAGCTGGAGGCGGGGTTAAGGTTTCATCGGCAGCTGGAGGCGGGGTTAAGGTTTCATCAGCAGCTGGAGGCGGGGTTAAGGTTTCATCAGCAGCTGGAGGCAGGGTTAAGGTTTCATCAGCAGCTGGAGGCGGGGTCGAGGTTTAATCGGCAGCTGGAGGTGTGGTCGAGGTTTCATCGGCAGCTGGGGGGTGGGGTCGAGGTTTAATCGGCAGCTGGAGGCTGGGTCGAGGTTTAATCGGAAGCTGGAGGCGGGGTCGAGGTTTCATCAGCAGCTGGAGGCGGGGTTATGGTTTCATCAGCAGCTGGAGGCGGGGTTAAGGTTTCATCAGCAGCTGGAGGCGGGGTCGAGGTTTCATCAGCAGCTGGAGGCGGGGTTATGGTTTCATCGGCAGCTGGAGGCGGGGTTGAGGTTTCATCGGCAGCTGGAGGCGGGGTTGAAGTTTCATCGGCAGCTGGAGGCGGGGTCGAGGTTTCATCGGCAGCTGGAGGCGGGGTCGAGGTTTAATCGGCAGCTGGAGGCGGGGTCGAGGTTTAATCTGCAGCTGGAGGCGGGGTCGAGGTTTAATCGGCAGCTGGAGGCGGGGTCGAGGTTTAATCGGCAGCTGGAGGCGGGGTCAAGGTTTCATCGTCAGCTGGAGGCGGGGTCAAGGTTTCATCGGCAGCTGGAGGCGGGGTTAAGGTTTCATCGGCAGCTGGAGGCGGGGTTAAGGTTTCATCAGCAGCTGGAGGCGGGGTTAAGGTTTCATCAGCAGCTGGAGGCGGGGTTAAGGTTTCATCAGCAGCTGGAGGCGGGGTCGAGGTTTAATCGGCAGCTGGAGGTGGGGTCGAGGTTAAGGTTAAGGTTAAAGTTAATTAAAGATCAGTCGCCTTTTTAAGGTTTCAGCAGTTTTTTATAAATCTGTTTGGATGAGAGGGAAGTTTTTACAAAACTGATTCTATAAACTACGCTGATGACGTTGGAGGAAGTGTTCCTAAAGTCGGGGTCGTGACCCCCTCGAATGTGTCGGATTCTTTAGAAGAGAAGTTCTATCAGTGTGAGGCGGTTTATTCTGCTGCACCTCCTGCATGAGGAGCATAAGAGTGACAACAATAAAACCAGCTGCTTTTAGCTACTGGTTCAATTATTAAAACTATTAATGCTGTCACTCTCTCTCACACACACACACACACGCACGCGCGCGCACACCGAGTCGTCGTGGCGGCGTCTCCTTGCAGATGTTCTCATGAGAACTTTCAAAAGCATCTCGTTAGCTCTCGGATCCTCGTTAATACACAGCCCTGTCCACCCCCCACCCCGCTGCAGAGGCTGAACGACTCCCGAGCAGCCGCCACCGACTGTAATCAACGACCTGGGGACTGCTGGGGGGTGGTCGTGACAACGGGGAGTTTAGGGACTGAACAGAAATAAGATAAAATGTTTGACATGAAACAGAAAAACGAACCAGATGTAAAATTAAACGCCGGTGGGGGAGGAGGAGCTTCTGCCTCCTCATCAGTATTCGAACCTGACTGGAGCTTATTGTGATGCTGGGCAGCCAGTTTACCCACATCACCTCCCTCATCAATCTCCTTCTCTCCTCCCCCGTATGTCATCAGTCTCTCTCTGCCGGGCTTGTTCTCCTCAGAGTCGGCCTTGTTGGTTCTGTTTGCTCTGCAGACAGAACACTAAAGGTTTCGGCTTCTCCCGGCTCCACTCTCTGGTTCTGCTCCACCTATGCTGTTAATCTGCTTAAATATTGGAAACACAAAGAAAAATCCTGTCATGTTTCTGTTAAACTGAGGAAAACACAAATGTAGATGAGCTCAGCTCACTTAAGTGGAGCTCCAGATGTTTACTTTAGCTTTTATATGATGTTTAATCCCATTAATTTCATCTATTTTATTGTTAGAGCCTAACTTTTTGGGTAGAGAGGATGTAGAAGGGTCCATCCATCCATCCATCCATCCATCCATCCATCTTCCGCTTATCCGAGGTCGGGTCGCGGGGCAGCAGCCTAAGCAGGGAGGCCCAGACTTCCCTCTCCCCAGCCACTTGGGCCAGATCCTCCAGGGGAATCCCAAGGTGTTCCCTGGCCAGCTGAGAGACTTATGGGCCATTCCCACCTGTACCGGGTCGGCCCGGGCTGGGTAGCGTAGGTTGTTTACATATCTGGGTGGCCTGGTATTTTTCCGGGCCAACCAAGGCTCATTCTCAGCCCTCTTCTCGAGGGGGTCTGCTTCAGGCCGACCAGGGCCAACACACCCACTGCTGACAGCAAATTCACACCTTCCATTAGAGCAAGCCTCTGATTGGTGGGTAGAATCAGCCCACATGGGCTTAAGACAAGGATGTGTGGAATCAACCGGGGCCGACTGGGGCTACCCGGCCCGGGCCGACCCGGTACAGATGGGAATGGCCCATTAGTCCCTCTAGCGTGTCCTGGGCTGGTCCATGACCCAACTCCGGATGAGCTAACAGTAATGGATGGATGGAATGATAAAAATGATGTATTAGACTGTCGTGACTCGTTTTAAGAGAATAAAACCAGCCCAGACTATCATGAACACTTTACTTAAAGTCTGTAGTTTTTGAATGTACTGATGAATGAAGTTGATTAGTGTATTTTTTTGTTTTGTTTTTGTTTATTTTTGCAGTCGGAGTTCCTGTAGAGGATCACAGTGTAGGGAGACAGTTTATCTCCAGGATCTGTCTCGTTATTCCTGTAAAGAAAGGCTTTAATATCTCCGGTCTGTTTTATGAAGCCATCGTTCTTTAATGATCTCGGATCAGTTTTCACTGAGATAAACACGACCAGGACCTACAAACACCGGCTGGTGGCGTTTAACTCATTAACAGCCATGCTTTTACTGTGTGGGCGTCGGACGAGCCCCCGCACCGCGAGAACAAACATCTCGGCTCTGAGGCCAATCTTCATCCGCGTACGTCACACGTCACGTGATCAGGAAGCAGAACATCCATGTGTTAGGAGATCGTTTTGGGACGCTGCTGTAAAAAAAGTGAGGCGCGAACCGGAAAAGCTTCTGCCGATCGCAATTCAACACCGGATTATGAAAGAACGGATAACGCTCGAAACGCGCGGATTCTTCCTGATGTAAGAGGTGAGTCTCCGCTTTGTTTTGGTAATTTTGGCGTCGACATCATGCTAGCGCGCAACGTTCTGTCACTCTTAAAAAAACAGTAAAAATGCTGAAAAACGCTGGCAGCGAATGAGGTGAGGAGTAGATTAATGCAGCTCTACGACCATTTTCTTTGGTGGTTGGCGTCTGTGAGTCCGCCTCCTGCTCCTGATGGAGGAGTTCTGTTCTTCCCGATCCCGTAATACAGCTTGGCTGATGTGAGTCCCTTCACAGTGGATGGATAATGAAAACACGTGTAATAACGATACGTTTATTACGTTTATTTGCTCTGACATGGTTTTTCTAAGCTGTGGAGCATGACTTGACAAAACTTCTGTTTCCGTCTGTATCTGAGTGTTTTTTCCTGGAGATCAAACCAGAGCATCTGGTGGAAATGACAGATTATTCTGTTTTTATCTGACTCTGAACTGTCAGACACAAAACGCTGTAGAGAGTCCAGCTTTTACTCTGCGGATGTGTGGAGCGATGCTGTTTATGTCGGTGTGGGACCAACACGCTGACGTGTGTGTAAGGAGTGATGCCACTAACCTGTTCAGTGAACCTCAGGACTAAACCTGCCAGCTGCTGGAAACACGCAGCTTCCAATTGTCTGTTTGGGTTTTTGTTCTTCCCAGCTCGTCCGTGTTTGTGCATCAGTCGTTAGCGTTTAGCTTGGGAACCTTCGGAGCTCCAAACATCTAGCAGATAAATTCCCGGGGCCTCATGTTCCAGCCGTACTAACGAACAGATGTGTGTGTGGCGCGTAGGAACTAACGTACACAGTGTGTGTGGTGTCCTTCATGTTGTACCTGTGTGTGGAAACGTTCCTAAACACCAGAACACTTCAGACGTGTGTAGGAACAGCATCTAGTGGTAGAACGGGGAACCGCTACGCCGAAGGTCTCAGTCATCCACTCATTATTTTACCCAGTAAATAAATATTTATGTGGAATAACAGCCGAGTCACATTCCCGGTTCTACAACACCGACGGGAATCCGACTGTAGAAGGGAAGTCGTGTTTTTGTTCATCTTCCATTTTTATGATGTTCTTAATAGTTTTAAATAATTAATATTATAGTTTTATGATGTGATATTTGTGTGAGTCTGCTTGAGACGCGTTAGATAAAAGATGCTTTCTAGATTATTAGGAAGGATCTGTCGGAGCTCCTCTGGAGGAAACGCAGATCCGTCTGGAGCGTCGCTGGGATTTGGGATCCTTGTGGAGCGACAGATCCGATTCTGTTTTACAACTGCCAGAACCTCCTCTGCTCCCCATCGCACACGCGTTGCCACGGTAACCAGAGTGAATGACAGCCGAGAGGCTGCACTCAGACATCTCCAGATAAAAGTAACTCCCTCCAGAAGAACTCCTCAAGTGTAAATGAGAACCCGTTACGCTACGATTGATCAGATTAACGTTTTTATTTGTTCCTGACAGGAACCTCTCCTCTGTCCCGACCGCGTTTACAAACTCTGACACTTGTTTGGTTTTGCACTTCGACAGAAAGTGTCTCGATCTCACGAGATTCCTTATTTCTGGGCAGAATGCAGGAATCCCTCACGAGCCGAGGAGGTAGCGTGACCAAATATGGGTAACTGAGGGCGTTCCTGTATGTAGGTGACTGAGAACGGACACGAGCACCAGGGCAGCACAGGCGGGATTGATCATCGGACCAGTGCGGGGGATCGTGCGTACGAGAGACCGCCGCATGCCTCAAGGGCAACATGCCGATTATTACTTGTGAGTCGCTTTGGACAAAAGCGTCTGCTAAATACATGAACGTAAACGTGAATCAGGATTCTGACCATTCCTACGAACGTTTGATGAACGAGGCCCCAGTCTGAGAAATCTGCTCCTCAGCTTCCCTGCAGGACGTTTTTCTGACTAAATGCACAGAAGTAAAAATAAGACTTAAGCTGCAGAAGAACAGAAAACAGCAGCTAAACGTGGAGCAGATGTGTTTTTGTATGTTTCTGCTTCCAGCAGGTCGTTGGTCTGTAGGTCAAAGGTCACGGAGCTGGAATCAGCAGAGCCTCTGCTCATCATAGCTCTACGTTGAAAGCTCTTTGTCTTCTTCACTTCCTGCTGCCTTCAGGTGTTTCCTCAGGTTCTGATTCGCTGTTACACATCTGGACCCAGAACCAGTTCACAGAACAGAATCAAAGATGTCCTGTCCAAACTCCTGATCTGTAACTTCATCTGCCCTCGGGTTAGAGTCGGGGTTAGATCACTGATGGTGATGCAGCTGCTACTTCAGCACGCATAGCTCAGCTTTCAACGGTTCAAACCGAAGTTTCACGGGATGAATCTTGACGAGTTTGTGTGAAAAAAGTCCCCAAATGCATGAAAAACTAAAGTCACAAAATAAAACAGGTTTAGGTTTTCATTTCTGAAGTTGTGGAGATAATTTTCTAACAGGAATAAAAAGAGTCATTTAATTATCCTGGTGAGAACATCGTCTGGCTAAATGTGTAAACCAGCTTTTAATTTGAAGGTCCCTTGTCAGCTGATCCAGTTTTCCTCATTTCTGTAGTTTTTAAACATATTTTTGTTCCCATAAGTTACACCTTATAGCATCACGCACGTATCTGACATCATTTTAGTTGTTTTCAGCTACAGTTGTCGTTGTTTTCGTCTGAAGTAAACACGTTTGACTCCACACATTCTGTGTGCAGTTCAGGTGTTTGGAGCTCTATTATTTCCCATATTTCTGGGATCAATTGAAGGCAGCACGACCTCTGAATGTTGGAGCCACCGACCCACACGCGCGACTTTACTAACTGTTTTATTATTAATAATGATTTTATATCTGGTGTTTGTTATGATAAACAGATCTCAGAGTTGGCTTTGTCCTTTGACCTGCTTCCTGTGGATCAGTGGCTCCACTTCCTGCTGTAGATATTTGTCTTACTTCCTGTCTTTTCTCTCCTCCTCTTCATCTCTCCACTTTTGCACGCCATCTTTTCCTTTAATTTTCTTTCTCCCTGTTTGCCTCTCATGTGTTATTAACCTCCATGGTCACACATTCATTATTTTGTTTAAATAAAACCGGGCCGGCACCCTACTTGGTACCGGACCCCTCAGATCCCATCGACCCTTTAGAAGACGACCTTTTCCACCTCTTTGATAAGTACCCCACTCCCATGCCAGACACCAGCACTCCCATGATCCCCCCAGTAGGAGTCCAAGCTGTGGCGCTGTCCTCGGACTCTGTACGGGTCTCCTGGGCCGATAACTCCATGACCAAGAACCAGAAATCCTCCGAGGTCCGGTACTACTCCGTCAAGTGGAAGTCCAGCTTCTCAACCAGTGGGAAGTTCAAGGTAAACATCTCTTTATTCTTCAGACTATATTTGGTTCAGAAAGTTTTAACCATAAAAGGATGAAAAACTGGTAATCATAATATACTCCATACTTTTATTTTGAAAGGGCTTCTCTAACTCACCCATGTTATATAATATTCATGATTTCAACATTCCATCCATCTGTCCATCATTTTCCGGCCGCATATCCGGGGTCGGGTTGTGGGGTCAGCAGCCTAAGCCAGGCCCAGGCTTCCCTCTCTCGAGCCACTTGGACCAGCTCCTCCGGGGGAATCCCAAAGCGTTCCCTGGCCAGATGTGAGACAAAGTCTCTCCAGCGTGTCGTGAGTCTTCCTTTAGGCCTTCTCCCGGTGCCCGGAAAACTTCACCTGGGAGGCGTCCAGGAGGCATCCTAACTAGAAGCCCAAGCCACCTCAACTGGCTCCTCTTGATGTGGAGAAGCAGTGGATCTACTCCGAGTCCCTCCCGGATGACCGAGCTTCTCACTCTATCTCTAAGGGAGAGCCCAGCCACCCTGCGGGGCAAAACTCATTTCAGCCGCTTGTATTGTAAAACCGGTAAATCGAAAGCTTCGCCTTCTGACTCAGCTCTCTCTTCACCACGACAGACCGGTACAACGCCCGCATCACTGCAGATGCAGCACCAATCCACCTATCGATCTCATGCTCTACTTTTCCCTCACTCGTGAACAAGACCCCGAGATACTTAAACTCCTCCACTTGGGGCAGGACCTCATCCCTGACCCGGAGAAAGCATTCTACCCTTTTCCGAATCAAGACCATGGTCTCAGATTTAGAGGAGCTGATTCTCATCCCAGCTGCTTCACACTCGGCTGCAAACCGCTCCAGCGAAAGCTGAAGATCACGTTCTGATGAAGCCAACAGGACCACATCATCTGCAAAAAGCAGAGACCTGATCCTCAGACCACCAAAACAGATCCCCTCAACACCTTGGCTGCACCTAGAAATCCTGTCCATAAAGGTTATGAACAGAATCGGTGACAAAGGGCAGCCTTGGCGGAGTCCAACTCTCACTGGAAACAAGCCAGACTTACTGCCAGCAATGTGGACCAAGCTCTGACACCGGTCATACAGGAACCTAAATCCCCAAATCAGAGAGCCTGGTGCCCCAAACTCCCAAAGTACCCCCACAGGGTCCCCCCAAGTGATGCGGTCAAACGCTTTCTCCAAATTTACTAAACACATGTAGACTGGTTAGACAAATTCCCACACACCCTCCAGGATCCCCCTAAGGGCTGGTCCAGTGTTCCACGGCCAGGATGAAAACCACATTGCTCCTCCTGAATCTGAGGTTAGTCAATCCACCGGACCCTCCTCTCCCGAACCCTGGAATAGCCTTTATCAGGGAGGCTCAGGAGAGCAATCCCTCTATAGTTGGAACACATCCTGCAATCCCCCTTTTTTTAGGGTTTGGGTTAGCGTTAATAGAGGGACCACCACCTCAGTCTACCAATCCAGTGGAACTGCCCCTGAGGTCCATGCGAAGTACTCCGCCCACTGATCCACAACATCCTGCATCGAGGTTGGCAGCACATCATCCCTACTATAGATAGTGCTGGTAGCGCACTGCTTTCCCCTCCTGATGCGTCAGATGGTGGACCAGAATCTCCTCAAAGCAGTATGGAAGTCTTGCTCCATGGCCTCACCAAACTCCTCCCACACCTGGGTTTTTGCCTCTGTGACCACCCGGGCTGCATTCCGCTTGGCCCACCGGTACCCATCAGGTCCCTCTGGAGTCCCACAGGCCACAAAGACCTAATAGGACTCTTTCTTCAGCTTGACAGCATCCCTAACTGTTGGTGTCCACCAGCAGGTTTGGGAATTGCCGCCACTACAGGCACTGACAACCATGCGGCTGCAGCACCACTCGGCTGCCTCAACAATGGCAGCACAGAACACGGACCACTCGGACTCATTGTCCCCCGCCTCCCCCGGAACATTTCGGAAGTGCTGTTGGAGATGGGAATTGAAACTTCTTCTGACCAGAGACTCTGCCAGACATTCCCAGCAGACCTTTACAATACGTTTGGGCCTGCCTGGTCTTACCGTCATCCTTCCCCACCATCAAAGCCAACTCACCACCAGATAGTGGTCAGTTGACTGCTCCGCCCCTCTCTTCAACCGAGTGTCCAAGACATGCAGCCGCAGATCAGATGAGATGACAAAGAAGTCGATCATGGAGCTGCGGCCTAAGGTATTCTGGTGCCAAGAGCACATATGGACACCTTTATGTCTGAACATGGTCTTCATTATGGACAATCCATGACTGGCACAGAAGTCCAATAATAGTCAATCAGGGGGGGGGGGGGGGCTATTCCTCACCACTACACCTCTCCAGGTCTCACTTGAGCATTAAAGTCACCCAGCAGTACAAGGGAGTCATCGAAAGGAGCGCTCTCCAGCACCTCTTTCAAGGTCTCCAAAAGGGTGGGTAGTCTGAGATGCAGTTTGGTGCATGAGCACAGACCACAGTCAGAACCTGTAACCCCACATGTAGGCAGACCCTCTCGTTCACTGGGATAAACCCCAAAGTACAGGCACTAAGGTGGGGGGCGACTAGTGCGCCCACCCCTGCTCGGCGCCCCTCTGTCGGGGCAGCTCCAGAGCGGTAGAGTCTCCAGCCCCTCTCAAGGAAACTGGTTCCGGAGCCAGGGCCGTGCGTCGAGGTGACTCCGCCTACATTTTGTTGGAGCATCTCGACCTCACACACCAACTCAGGCTCCTTCACCACCAGAGAGGTGACATTCCATGTGCCAAGAGCCAGCTTCTGTAGCCGAGGATCAGACCGCCAAGGTCCCCGCCCTCGACTACCACCCGTCACACACTGCACCCGACCCCTTTGGCCCCTCTCAGAAGTAATGAGTCCATGAGAATCAAGCAGCTCTGTGAAACGTCACTTTGAATTTCTTAATAACAATGAAACTAAAATGTAAAAATGTTTTTTATGTTTGATGTTGAGGGAAATAAAAACTCTTTTTGACTCGTTTGTTTAAAACGTTTATTTATTTAGTTCGTCTCTATTCAGGAGCAGAAACAGCAGGTTGTAACTGTACCGGAATAATGACCAAACCCTCCGCCATTTCTTTTCTGTCCGGCTCAGCAGCGAGGATTAATGAGTCGTTCTGCGGCTTTCAGCTGATTAATGTTTCTGCAGAACAAAAGGTGTGATCCTTGTAGCCGCGCTACCTGCTGCTGTTTGATTACAAGCAGAGAGGACCTAAACATCCACAACATTTTCCCACACGCTGATCCCGACACAGTTCTGGGAAACCCACCAGAGTCGTGGTGGATCCTTTTGGAGTTCTCGTCACTTAAAACTTTTATTTGCGTATTCTTCTAATGTGAATCTGTTTCTGTCAGGAAGATGAACCCTGAATTTCAGGCAGTTTAAATGGGAATGTTTACACGGTGCATTACAAAATAAAAGCATGGTTGGACGATAGGAAGGAGGTGAAATAGAAATACTAATAATGTGACTATTGCAGAGCCCCATTGTCCAGCTCTTTAAATCAGGAAATGTTGCCTTCCTCTGAAGTCCAGCTGACTTCCGTGTCTTTCCTGAATCCTGCTCCCTTCATTTAGGCACTAACTTCCTTCGTTGCTCCTCTTTAGTTCCTCTGAAGCTAAACGCCGTTTAATGACCTGACCAGAATGAGCTTGGCTCCTCAGAAGCAGACTAGCTTTTATTCTCTTTGTGTAGTTTTTATTGATCACAAATCCTTTTAAATATGGTATTCTCAGCAGATAGAAGCCCATTTAAATGCTTCACAGTTGTGAGTCCGGAAAAGCTGCAGTAAAACTTTATCTTTCTTATTCTAATCGTGAGATTAAGTCCTTCACTGATCCCTTCATGTTAGTGTGCTCGCTGGGGAGACGTCTCCTGTCTGCCTGAACTTCAGGGAAAATGGAATAACTGTTAGACAGAAAAGCAGATGATTGAGTGTGATCAGTGGGAAAGCAGTGAGTCGGTTCGGGAGTGGGACGTACCACCTGCACCGGGGCAGCCTGCGGTGTCTGATGTGCCAATAGCACGCTCCGTCTCTGACCTGCTTTCCTGTGTAAATCAGAGGTGATAAAACGGATCATTCTGACAAAAACTGGATATGACATCATACACTAAGACACGCCCCCTTACGTTAGCATGTCCCAACCATCGACATGTTTACTGGATAATTTGTGTCCACAGGCTCCAATTATAAGTTTTTGAGCCAAAATGGGAGGTGGCCGCCACCGCCATTTTGACCGTGTCACAGGTTCCGTCAAGCCCGGACAATTCCATAAAAGGGAAAAGAGATGGAGCTGAGGGCGGGACTGTAAGGCTGGGATCAAATGACGACACCCGTTGAACTGAAGCGATGTAGCTACAAGCTAACCCAAAGCTAACACGGAGGTGGGAGCTAAGCTAACGGAGGTAGCTACCTAGCTACAGCCGGAGTTAACTGTGCACAACACCAGAGCTTCTGAGTCAGAGATACGCCGGGCTGACCGCTGGGTAAACCGGGTGGAACACAGAGGTCTCCGAGACCTCCACAAGCCAGCAGTCGCACAGCAGACAAGCGCCGCTGCGATCTGAGATGCGCCAAACTGCCGCTGAGGGGAGGGGACCATACCGATAGTGGGAACCCAGCTCAACCAACATGTTAAATTTCAACCATTTTCTAAAGTGCAGCATTATGTTAAATGCACTGGGTTTTACCCTATTACATTTAAATTTCATGTTTAAACAGTACATGTTAAAATCTAAGCTCAGCTCGGCAGTGACCTAAAATACATAAATATAATTTTACTTACCGAAAAAAATGAAGTGGAGACTCCTTGGACGCTCTATTAGTGCAATTAATGCCACAGCAAGTCATTTTGTCCAACAATTGCACAAATAATATCCAAAAAGAACCCTCAAACGGCACAACTAATGGTCTAAGGTGAGAGACTGAAAATGGCGGAACAGTTTCCAGGCCAGACCGAGGCTCTACTGAGACCTTTCCACGGAGCTAGCTCTGTGGTCACGTGGGTCTGATGCTCATTAATTATACAGAATTTTAGGCTTTTAATACACTTAAACAGAAGAGTGAGAAAAACATTCACCCCCCTCAGAGTTGTCATGAGTGTAAACTAGATCATTTAAACCTAAAACATGTTTTGGTACCAGGCTGTAAACATGTTTATTTCTGCTGTGAAATTGGTATTTTTAACATGGGAGTCAATGAGGATTTGCTCGCTTCTGACACCACCCCCTAGTGGATGAGGGTGGAACTGCAATTTCTGTCACTTCCTGTTTTGCTTCATTTCCAGACCCGAGTTATGGGGGCTTGGTCCCAACTTACTTCAGTGTCATTGATTTGTAAATGCTGGCGGTGGCACTGCTAACAGCAGAACAATGCTAGCCCGAGCTCCACTCCTAGTTGAAAGGATCCAGTCAAAACGTGCATCGCCGTGGAGAAATGAAGAGCTAAACAAACTAGAGAGAAGTGAGAGGGCGGCAGAAAGAAATGACATTAAACCATCAAATATATTACAGAACTACTTCCATCATCTCCACTATAAAAAAACATATTAACCCCCCCCCCCCCCCCCCCCAGAATAGAATAGCCTTTATTGTTTTAGTACAAGGTACGCCTAAATTGGAGTGCCACTGCCTTTGCTGCAAATAGTAAAAGAACACAGGAAAATAATACTGAATAATATAAATGTAAAATCAACAGTAATATTTACTAATGCAGTGTAGCGGCATTAGCTGGGTTCTGTGCAGGTCACTACTGTAAGCAGAACTGTAGCGTACTGAGTCCTCTGTGAGGAGTTTGCAGACCACTTCAGAGGGACGGTAGATGTCATCAGATGCAATATTTTTTCCTCTAAGCAACATAGTTTTAGACAAATCTGACCAGCCAATCAGCATGCAGCTCATTTAATATGAAAATCTTGGCTGAGTGGGTGGGGCAGACCAGCCTTTCCATTGTAGAGCTATTGCACTGAGTTTGTGTTTGGCCATGTTTCAGGGCTCCTGGGTCATTGTGAGCCCCAACGACATGTTTATCCATCAATCAATCAATCAAAGCTTTATTTATAAAGTGCCTTCCTGATGGTTTAACGCTTCAAAGATCAGTTTCCTGTCATAAAAACATTCTAGAACCCGTTTAAATCCTCACAAACAAACACACTCGGTTCCTAACCTGATCTCGTCTTCGGTCCTGTCTCAGTCCGCAGACACCACGGCTCTCAGCCACACCGTCACCGGCCTGAAACCAAACACCATGTACGAGTTTGCCGTCATGGTAACCAAAGGTCGCAAGTCCAGCACCTGGAGTATGACGGCCCATGCCACCACCTATGAAGCAGGTAAGGTTCTCACACACACACGCACACACACACACACACACACACACACACACACACACACACACACACACACACACACACACACACACACACACACACACACCGTCTGACCGTTTTAAATATGGAAACACACCAGAACTAATGAGTTGCAGAATTTTGCTGCTGAACAGCAATTATTTTTAACAATGAGAAGAGAAGCGGGTTTCGTTCGGTGAAAAATCATCTCTAAACTCCCTCCAGCAGCAGCAACAACAACAACACGCTGGAATCAAAATGTCATGTCGTACCTTTCAGGATGTAGGCAATCATGTCGGCCAGATTCGCCACCCAATTAGGCGTGAACGGCATTAGCCCGGCGGCTCCCCGAGGCCCACCGGATTACGTTGACATTCAGAGCCAGCAGACGAACCGGTCCACTCAGCCCTGCACCGATCTGCAGTTCAGGAGGCTCAAACAGCAGATTCCCACCTTAAAACGCACGAGGACCACACAGCAGCAGCAAGGAGAGGGGCTTTTATCACAGCCTGTCAGAGCTCGGCCTCGTGGGTGAAAATAGCCTCGCACACCTGTAGCTCACCTGTAGAGGCTCTAACAGCAGTCTGAAAGCACGTCGGAGGAAATCAGCAGCTGAACAAAACGTTCCTGATCCTCACAGGAGGAAACGGTGCTCAAAGGGGAAAAGAACTTGGTACCATGGTGGAAAATATTAATAATGTGATAATAAATGTGTTTAATAGAATTTGTGAAAAAAAAAGTTTGACATTCATTTTTCTATTATTTGTTTTTAAAGGTGTCAGACGCTCGTTTAATCTATCTGCAGTGGTCTCTAGTAGGAATGAGTGCCTTAAGTCGTTCTCGTGGGGGCTCAGATGCTCCTGTTTCCGGATCTAGAAGTGAGCCACATAAGAGCTGTGATCAGAACATGACAGGATCTGGAGTCCTCTTTCCTGATAGGTGGACATCTCTCCTCTGATTGGCTAACGGCAACACGACTCTACCACTGACTGTTTGCTCTGAAACGCTTTATCTATAACACGAGCCTGGAGGAGTTCTGCCGTGTGGTGGAGTTGCTAATGCTAATGGTTAGCTTCTACTAGCCGAGACGTTCTCTGCTGTTTCCTGGTCGCTAAACCAACAACAGCCTTCCCCGTCGTGAGTCCAGATGGGTGAGTCCATGAATGTTAGTGACAGGGTGACGTAGATCTGTCAGGATTTTCTATCCTAGAGTTTCACCGTCTGTTTTCTATCAGAAGCTACTGCTGGAGATCGGTGTAGGAGACTATTTTCATGTTCAGCCTGCATGAAACTCTCAGAGGGACCTCTTAGAATCCGACATAACCATTTAAACATGGTTTTTCAGTGTTCCACACATTTTCTTTCAGATTTTTCCTCTATTGCTTATGTTTCTGCTCTAGCTGATGAGTCGGGGTTTAGATGGTGCAGAAGAGAAGAAATCCTAACCCTAAACCAGACTTGGTTGCTACCGATCTGAGTCAGCAATATTTAACGTTTCTACTGTCGTTCTACGGTGATTCGGCTCAAATAGGTTCTGTTATGTTGTCTTTTTCTAAGATCCTGATGTAAGAATCTCACTGAAACGATGGCCAAGAGGTGCAGACAACACCGGGACACGCTGTGGATCTCAAAACTGCAGTTTCACAAAATTCCTGTTGTGTTAGTGTGGAATTCTTTAGTCACAAATCCTCTCCGACTCTCCTCAGAGTTGTGTCATTATTGGAATGGCAGAAACTAAGCAAGTCCCAGACGCCAGTTTGTTTTTGGAATTTGACTAAATTCCCAGGAGTCGGCAGCAGGAGCACAAGGAAATGGAAACGCTCGTGGAAGTTTTAACGACTCCCTCTGAAGCCCGTTGTCGGCCTCGGCTCGTTAAGACCGGATGAATTAATAAAAAGTTTCCTTTGAATTAAAATTCAGCGCGACTCGGGCTGGGTCTTGTTTGGTTGAGAGTCCTGTTGGTTGTGCTGGGTTCAGCTTCAGTGCCGGAGTTTTTCTAACTTCCCCAGAAGGACTTCCTGTGTCGTTGTTAA